TTTTTTAAAAAAACGTGAAAGAAGTCACATTAGGGTGGCAGTCGTGTAATCTCATGGATAATTTACAGCATACAGTGTGCTTTTTCCATTGTTTGCAACAGGGACAGAAGCCTGGAGGGAAAATGCATTCTCAGTAGGGCCTTCTTTGATCTCCCCATTGTACCTGGGTGAGGGCTAGTCTTGGCTCCCAACATGACTTTTCCAGCTGAACTGAGCATTATGCCAGCAAGGGAGATTGGAGTCCATCTAACCCTCACCTGTCTTTCCAATTCCAAATAGATGTTGGACAGCTCCCATCTTACAGCAGGAAGACAAAAATTTGGAGATGGTGATGATGGAGACGGTAGTGGTGACGATAATGGACAGTGTCAGGTAGTATGGTATAGTGGGGGCAGACTTCACGGGAGAACTGGCACTGAGAGCAGACCCTGATGGAAATTGTGGCAGAGGGCAGATGAAGACTTAAGGAATATGGTAAGAAAGTTCAAGGAGGGAAGGCAGTACATGGAGCCTTCATACTATTTTGAGAAGTTTGGACTTTATGGACAATGGTTGGTGATGCAGAGTTTTGAGGAGGGCATTCCATGACTGATCTCCCTTATGTTTTAAAAGGCAACTATGGAACTGTGCTGTCTAAAACTGTAGCCACCAGCCACATGTGGTTATGAGCCTTGAAATGTAGTCAGTCTGAGTTGAGATGTAAGTGTAAAATATACACTGGATCTTGAATACTTAGAGCAAAAATATGTAAAAATACCTCAATAATTTTTATTTAATGAGCTAAAATGATGATATTTTGCATGTATTTAAGGAGGTATATTAGTACAATTAATTTCATTAATTTCTTTTTGATTTTTCATGAGGCTACTAGAAAAATTTAAATTTATACTTTTATTGGACAGGCTGGTGTGGAGGCTGGGTTGGGGAAGGAAAGAACTGAAGACCAAGAGAAGATAGGAAGTTACAGCAAAACCCTAGACGAGGGAGGATGAGGGTCAGATCTAAGGCAGTGACTCTGGGAATAAACAGGAGACAACAAGTGAAAAAGGCTTTTAAAACAGGATTTGACAGGGCACCTGGGTGGCTCAGTTGGTTGAGCATCTAACTTCAGCTTGGGTCAGGAACTCCTGGTTAGTGGCTTGGTGGGTTCAAGCCCTGTGTGGGCCTGCATGCTGGTGGTGCAGAACCTGCTTGGGATTCTCTCTTTCTCCTTTCTCTCTCTGCCCCTCCTCCCCTTGTGCTTTCTCTCTCTCTCTCAAAATAAACTAACTTAACAGAATTTAAAAGAGGACTTGACAATGATTTTTCTGGATGTGGGGATGAGAAAAAGGGAGGAGACAAGGTTGCCTGTTAAGTATCTAGTCTGGGTGACAGAAGATAAGGAGGATGGTTTTTAGAACTTGATGCATATGGGTTTCAGTGTGGACCTCCACATGTCTGGAGCAGTGGGGAACTCAGATGTGAAGCTCAAGAGAGATCAGAGTGGGCTTGTCGATTCAGGAGTCAACAAGCAAGAGGTGACAGCTGAGGCACAGAAATGGGTGAGAGGGTTTAGCTCACTCACACAGGGAGGGGGGAGTGAGCATGAAGCATAGAGAACGGGGTGTTGATGGAGGTTTAGGGCTCAGAATTTAATTTGTGGACAGGAGAAGAGAGGCTGATGAGCTTGACTGAGGCTGGTCAGGGAGGGCCCAGGAGACCCTGGTACCACATAGACCAAGGGAGATCTTTCCAGATGGAACACTACAAATGCAGGAAGTGGAAGCTGTTGACCAGGCTGTGTCAAGGAAGCCACCAAGAGGTGTTTGCTGGGAATAAGCCTTTGATGAGTCACCTTAAGGCAAATGTCCGCTTGCAGAAAGTCCAGTAGAGAGCGGCAGGTGAGGAAGGGGACTACAGGTACAAGAGAGAACTGTGAAGAGGCTGAACTCTAGAAGGTTGGTGGGGACTCGGAGGCTGCAGAGGGAGAGTGGGCACAGGGCCGAGGACAAGGATTGTTAGGCAAAGGGTGAAGGAGGGAGAGCCTGAAGATAAAATGGGGGCCAATAACTGCTAGAGCAAGGCCAAGAGGATGAATGTGGGCAGGAGACGTGTGAAATTATCACATCTGCTAGAGTCTTTTATCCCTTTTTTTCCCCCAAACACTTAATAGCCACATCTCCCAGAGTCCCCCTCGAGGATCCGACCTTTCCACCGGCTACGTTCAGGTCAGGTCAGATGGGAGTGGGAGCAGGGAGTTTCCAGCATTGCTCTTGCAGTTTATAGGTACTGCTGCAGGGAACTTTGGGGATTGGACAGCATACCTCCCCCTGTGGGTCTGGACTTGGGAGGCCCTACCCCCTACCGCCCCACCCCAGGCTCTGTAGACGATCCTCAGGCCAGCCTGGCAGATCCTTCTACTCTGGCAGCCCCTAGCACCTCTGCCTGGCCAAGCAGAGGGCCTCGCATCCTTCCCCTGCCCCAGGCAAGCTCGGGCTGCAGCGCCCGGCTTTCCCCACCCGGCGGGGCGCGCTGGGAACCTGCGAATGGCCGGCTCGCGTCCAGCACCCGATCCCGCGCCCACCTCAGCCTTCCGCGCTGCAACTTTTTTTGGGAGCGTTCAGCACATACAGCAGTCTTTAAACCCACAGGTCAAAGACTACCTCATCCTGGGCTGAACGTTGTCCGTCCTCGACTTGGCTCTCAGCTGGCCCCAGTCTCCTGAGTTCCCAAGTTTTTCCAGTTTAGCTCAGTTTAGAAACCTGGGAAGCTAGTTCACCATGAGATGAGACTCTTGTTTGCCGGTTGCTTGCGCCCTCTGTGACCGGCTGGGATTTAGACCTCTGCCTCCTCCGTCCCTCTTACATTTTTGCTGGCTTTGGCCTCTTCTTTCTCTGGCCGCCTTTCGCTTTGCGCTTTTTAGCGTTCATCTTCGACATTCATCGTGAGTTTCTCCTCTCTTTTATATCTCTTTCCTTTCTTCCTCCGTTCCTTCTTGTCCCCTTCTCCTCACATTTCTCCTCTCTTTATCTTCCGGCGGCCTATTCCCTATTCCTAAAAGGAAGGAACCCTTCCTCCTAATCCAGGAGGAGGAGAGGGGCCTGGGCAGCCACACTCTCCAACCCCCTCCTTCATCCTATTCAGCCTTTCTTAACAACCCTCCTCCGGCTCTTAGCTGCTCTCGCCTTTCCAGCCCTAGAAATCACGGGGGGGCTTCGCGGAGGCAGTGCATTTCTGATGCCCGGGCCTGCTCAAACCACATCTCCTCCTCGTTCAAGTTTCCCTCTCTCCAAGTCTCCTTTTCCTAAAGGGGCTCCAAGGGCCCCCTAAGCCCGGACTGCCGTCCTGGCTCTGCCTCCAGGCTGCGCTTCTGCAGGGGTCAGGGGGGGCCTGGTAGGCCGGCGCTGGAGGCTGGGCCAGCACTGGCAGCCTACACTTCAGAAGGAACAACTGAGCCGGTTCCAGAAACAGATCTAGGAAGAGTGAAAGGCGGCCTCAATCCCAGGCTAGAAGATGGGGCTGGATCCCCCCCATTAGGAGCAGACAGTTGGTCTCCTGTCTTTCCTCATCCGACCAGGGTCGAGAAGAGAACCGTGGAGGGGAGGCAGCAAACACCTGACCCCGCCGCCGGCTCCTCTGGATCTCTCCTCGCGCCTTCAGGAAGCAGATCACCAGGTTCGTCCGCCGGCTGTGGGGAGCATGGGTGAGCGGGGCGCCAGGAGGAGGGGGGGTTGTCCAGGCGGCCTGCTGGCTCTCAATGACCCCTTTCACGGGGCTCATAGGCTCAGGAAATGCAAACCTGGCTAGCCCGCGCGCGTGATCAGAAGCGCCCACGGTCCCGAGCGGACCCCTCCCCGCCCCACACCCCACGGCTCACACTGGCCACACGCACACAAATGCGTTAAACGCGCCTGCACGCACGCACGGAGGCCCCGCACACCGGGCCAGCCCTGGGCTCCCGCCAGTGCCCCCACCAGCAGCGCGCCCGCCCAGCTAACCGCCAGCCCCGGCGCACCCCTCATGCCCTCACTCTCCCGCCTGCTGCTGCTGCGCTGTGCGCCACGCAGTCCCCGTGCTTCCCCGCGCGGCGGAAGCCTGGGCCGGGAAGGGGCGGGGGGGGGGAGGCAGTGGGCGTGGACGGGCGGGAACAGGCAGGTCCAGGTCCATCGCGCTCTGCTTCGCCATCCGCACCTTGAGGCTCCAGTCTGCCCCTTAGCTGAACCCAGACAGTTGGCGCTGAAAACAGCACCTCCTCCTCCTCTTCCTCCTCCTCCCCTCCTGAGACCCCCCCCCACATCCTCCCTGCGCCACCTCCGCCCCAACAGGCCCGAAAAGAGTAACTAAGAAGGCGGCCAGAAGCGACTCAGACTCTTCAGCAGGAGCAGGTTGGAGGCTAGGTTTCGGAGAAGACTCTGGATTAGGGGTCCGTCCTTAGCCCTCCTCCTGGATCGGCTTGATTTTCATATTTTAAAGAGGATTTTTCTCATTACCTTTGAACACTGCTGGCACAAAATTTCAGGAGAACTCGGTGAGGAGAAAGGTGGCCGAGGGGATCTTATTTTACAGAAACAAAAAAGCACGGAGGGGCATATATTAATTTTTCTTTGGTTTTGGACTCCTTCCTTTCAGAAGCAAGCAGTAGTCGAAGCAACGAGGGAGGAAGAAGGAGTGGAGAGGACCCACACCGAGGCCCAGCGCATGACCACCTCATCCCGGCCGCCCCTCCCCACTCCCCCCGACACCTCGCTCGCTGGCTCGCCGGCGCGCGCGCACCCCGCGCGCCGGACCGATACCCGCACACCTCGACGGCGCCACGCTCTCTCGGCAGCCCGAGCCGCGGCAGCCAGCGGGATGGAGCAGCGCGCCGAGCATGCCCGCAGGCATCTGGCCCGGGGCGCCTCTCGCCGGACAGGGGCTCCCCTGCTCCCCTGTCGACGGGTCCTGGCCAGCCGGATCACTTAAGCGCGACGGGCGGTCCCGAGGAACAGAGGCCCCCTGCCGTCATGACCGCGCCGGCGCATATGCTTCCTCTCTTCCCGCGGGCGATTGTGGTGTGGTAAATGGCCAGAGGAGCTAGCGGTGACAACGCGGAGGCTGCACCGCACTGGGGCTCAGCCCGGCAGACCGCTGTCCCAGCCAGGCAACACGGCGACGGAAAAACGGAAGAAGGCGAGGGGGAGACCGTCGCCTGCAGAGCGCGCAGTGGGGACAAGGCACCCCGGCTCGGGCAAGCCTGCCGGCGCGGAGGCGAGGAATCGCCAGGCACCCAGCCCCAGTGCCCTGGAACGCGGGGACGCCCGGGCCTCTGCCTTGTCCGATGTGGTGCCAGGAAACCGCCACCCTCCCGGCCAAGGGGTCTCCGGGAGGAGAGGTGTAGTGTGTGAAGGCGCCAGACAGGGGGCGGCGGCCGAGGAGCTCCGGCTGCCCAGCACCTCACACGCACTGACCGAGACTCAGCCTAATCAAGCCTCCTGCACTGGTCCAGACACAACAACGTAGTACCCATGGACCCACTGTCTCCTGACAGCAACTTGGGGCAGAAGAAGAAGAGAGCAGGAACAGGGACAGATGGAAGATGATAGTTGCTGGAGTCGGGGGGCAGAGGGGCAGAGGCGGGGGCGCCCTGGCTTGTAGAGAGAACAGGTTCATTCGGCTCCCGCGCCCTGGCTTGTAGAGAGAACAGGTTCATTCGGCTCCCCCCACGCCCCCAACAGGTTAGCGGAGTTTGTTGTAAGATGGTGTGTACGTTTGTTTGCTGGAGACCCTAGATTTGGGGCAGCCCGGAGGGAAGAGAGGGGGGAAAGAAGTGTCCTAAAGATGAGCAGGGGATGGATCTGTGGTCCCTTTCCCTGGTAAACGGCTTGGAGAGTCAGTTTCCCGCGGTCTGAATTGGCGAAGGACCCGCTGGGCAGACTGACGGATTCCTGCAACTGCCGAGCCTCCCCTCTCCAGTCACGCGAAAAAGAACCCGGGAGCTGGAGGCCACTCACACTCCCTCCCAGACCCCTGCCGGTCTTGGGGCCGCTGCTCTCCGCTCCAGGCGCACTTTCTCCCAGCCCCGGCGAGGGGGCTGCGCCGAGTCCACCCAAGCCCCGGCCTTCACGTCACAGAGTCCCCCTCCAAAACCCAGGCAGCTGCCTGGAAAGCTATAGGAGAGGCAGTAAAAAAGTTTAAAGCGTGCAGTGAAATTCAACACCCTTTCCGCACCCCTCACCCTTACGCATGCACAGGCACACCTAAGTCTCTGAGCAAAACACTCGCCTCGGCTGCTGCGTCCCGCATCACAGTCGGCCCCCGGAGTGGAGTTGGGACCCGGTGCTTTCAGCGCACCTCTTTCTCCCTGCCAGGTTCCCCTGAGAGCAGCGGCACCGACAGGTGGCGCCCTTGAGTTTCCACTCCAGCGGCCCGGGCGCTGACGGCCCTGCGTAGGGCTTGGAGCTCGAGCGGCCCCGGGCAGCTGCTGCAGCCCACAGAGCGCGCTCGGAGGGGCTCCCGATCCCCGCCGCCCTCCCGGGCCCAGCGCCTTGCGGCCAAGCCAGGAAACGGAGGGGGACGCGCTCTCCGGTGGATGGGGGGCGGCTTCCCGCGATCTACCCCCCCTCCCCTCCTGTCCACGGCCCCCACTTTCAGCCAGTTTGGGAAAAATCCTTTCCTCTTCTCTGGCTCTCCGGATAAAATCAGAACCCGGCGTTGGGCAGAGTCTGGAGGGTGATGAATGTCTGTATAGGCAGCTTTGGGGAACTCATCTGATGGGAAAGCTCCTCCCCTCCCCTTCATGCCTCTCTTTACGGCTGGCATTCAAGATTTCCTGGGAAATTTTCGTCTTATTTTAAAGGGGCTCTAGGGTGTCACAGGGGTGAGAAGGAACAGGAAAGCGAGGAGTCCGCAGAGTGCAGCATGTCCACGCTGCCCAAAACAGGTTTCCTGGTTCTCCATGACACGCGCAGCCCAGCCTGGGTACGGATGCTGGGTTGGAAGGATTTGAGCGGTCCGACTCCCCAGCGGCGCGGTGTCTGGCTTAATCTGCCTCCGGTGAAGACCCCCGTAGCTTCGGAGTGTGCAACTCTGGGCATAGGGGGTGGGCACAGCAGGCCTTGTCAGGGCTGGGTGATTGAAGACTTGGAAATCTCCAGAGGGAGAGGGGGAGAGGGGGAGAGAGAGGTAATTCTCTGACAGCAGGGAGTGTGACTCTCAACTTCATTTTAGTTTGATAATGAGGAAGTGTGTGTGTGTGTGTGTGTGTGTGTGTGTGTGTGTGTGTGTTCGTTCATGTTCACACTCAGTGAGGAGGATGAACAGGATGTGTGGAAGTAAATGTATCTCTGGGAGAAGGAGGAGGTGCTGTCCTCACATTATCTATGACTATATTACTGCCACATTTGGACGGTATAAATTCACAATGCCTAAAGCGTTTCTTATGTCTCTGCTTTTACTTGAAGGATCGTTTTTTTGTGTGTGTTGACTTGTCCCCTGAAGATGGAATTTGAGAGCGACCACTTTTTTGCAAATGGTAGTTACATCTGCCTGTCTTCAATGCCGTTGTGCAGCAGAGGAAGTGAGGGGGCAAGTCTAGCCCTGTGCCCTCTGGGCAAATGGCTCATAGTTGAAGGAGGGGCAGAAGCACCTGGGGAATGGACCAGTTGGCCTTGGAGCCCTTAGTGACAGCAATGAGATTCAGGCAGTCCACAAAGAGCCCACGGGATGCTTGTTGGTTGTGTTCTTGGCCAGTCTTAACTGTCCAAGAAAGGATGAGGCAACACACGTGGGTGCAGGGACCCCATCCTGTCCTTTCTTTCTAGTGGAGAGGGGGACTGCCTCTTTAGCTCCTGGGCTGGACCTGCCTATTCTGACCATGCTGTGTAGGCAGTATTAGTGAGAAAGGCTTCACTGAGTATCAGATCTGTGCTGCTCTGAGGGAAGAGGGGAAGTATGTTAACATGGCCCTCTCTTTGAGAGACTCTAAGGAAACAAGCCCTCTAAGAGAAACTGGGAAACTAGCTTCTGCAACATTACCAGGCTGGTTTCTTCAACTACCCCCCCCCCCCCATTCCTGAAGGCAATAAAAGAAGATGCTCTACATAAAAGCCAGGGTGAGGGATGAGTGGGATGATGGAAGTTTCTGGAAGCTTCCCTCATCATTGGTTTCAAAGTGGAGGGAGATATCCTAGCACTAGGCTCTTTTGACGTGAAAAGAGAGTTCCATCTTGCCTCTGATACCCGAAGTATTAAACACTTCTTTTCTGGGAAGACCAGCAGTTTAAGTGTGAACTGGGGTTTCTGCTCTCCTTGCAAGTGCCTTTGGTGGACCTCATTACTTGATATGAATTCCCTTTTGGGGAGGGTTTTCAGTCACCCCATGTAACTGAGATCAAACTCCAGTCTGACACTTGGCAGGATGTCAGGCAGGCATAACTGGACATGCTCCACTCCATTTTTCCAGGCGTGCCCAGGGACTCGGGGGCAGAGGAGATCCCTGTCCAGGGCTTGGATCATGTGTCCACTTTGGTTCAAGGACTGTGCTCAGTTGGCTTGGGGGACAAAGGAGGAAGTGCCCAGCAGGCTTAAGCTAGAAGGTGTCAAGAAGGGCTGGAGTCTGGGTCTCCCTCTGACCCTTACTACCCTGCCAGGTGTTCCTAGCGAGAGGTGAGTGGACTTGGACTTGGAGCCTCCACACTGGAGGGACATTTGCCACCCTATCTCCGGCGGTCTCCAACTGGATTCCTGGTGATTAATGGCTAAGACAGTGTGTCACAAACACCCGGAGGGAGCTCCCTCCCCACAGCTTGCAGGGAAACAGAAAAACACATCATTCTGCCCTTCTCCTTCAAATGCAGGAAGGTGCCTCCTGCTTGCTCATTGGATTGGCAAAAGGCTCTGGAGACTGGAAGGTTGTAAAGGCGACAGTTCACTTCTCTGTGCCCCCTCCTCTTTGGAGTAACCCCGCATGGGGATCCCCCGTGCGTGTTGCCAAGGTGGGAACCTTGCATTCTCCCTTGGATGCCCCCCATTCCTTTCCAGCAGCTCACTGGCAGTGGCAGGGACTTGCAGCCTGCTGCCCCTGCAGCGTGTCTGGTTGAAATGACTTGTCAGATAGTTTTCAGTTAATGTGCCCAACACTGCACATTGGTGCAGAAGCAGGGGTGTCGAGAAGCAGGGGATGCTGGTAACTCCAGGTGCCTCCAGATAACCCATCCCTGAGCCCACGAGGAGGTGGAACACACAGATGTTTTCCAGGCGGGATTTCATACCTTTAACTAATTCAGCTGGACTGTGTTCTAAAATATTTACTCCTAATGTGCAAAATAGTGACAGCTTTGATCAGATTAATTGTATTTCACTCACTGGAGCAGCTAATTGTGGCTCTCAAACAGATTTTTCAAATAGCTTTTGGTTGGATTGTCTTGCCTTCATCGTCCCTGCTCACGAACCTTGTGTCACAATATCTTAATGCATTTTGCCTTCTCAGAGGCTTAATAAAGAAGCCTGCCACAGAAGCTGTTCCTCAGGGGGTTGCCAAAAAGAATCTGTTTTTAATTAATATTACAAGGGGAGCCTCTCCTTTGAGCTGCAGCTGGGAAGTGCTGTGGGACATCACAGCCCTAATTGCTCCTGGTCATTGTCTGCCTGGGGTTGGGGGGTGGGGTGGAGAGAGGAAGGGGCTGGACACAGGCTGTTTGTCTCTATTTGTCTGCTCTGCGTTTCCTCTGATGGCTGGGTTACAGGGTGTGATTTGCTTCTCAGATCCTGCAGTGATTTCCAAGGTGAGCAGAATTTGCAAACTCCTTAATTGGGAGGCCTGATTTAATGATTGCAGAAATGCAGTGGTTGGAACTTGCTTTGTAGTTGGCAAAGAAGTGCTGGGAAGTGGCTTCTCCAATTGTGTTGGATTTAAGAGAAGCAGCCATGGAGGTGGGGGTGGGGGTGGGGGTGGGGGGGGGTAGTGGAGGGTTGTAGCTCCAATGGCAAGAAGGCTCAGGGCAGAAGGGAGAACTGCTTTTTCCTTGGCCTGTGTAAATCTATTATTGTCACTGGGGAATTTTGGAACTGGATGATATGTGGGCTCTGATTCATCCCATAAGGAGCAGAGGGGGTGCGACAACCCCAGACAGGCTGAGATAGGAAGATACCTCTGAAGGCCGGGTTTATCCAAGGCTAGGTGCACCTGAGGCCTGCTGGCTTGACTCACCTGTTGATTTCCTGCTTTCTCTGGCCTCTTGGCAGGCTTGAGACACTTTTCTTATAGAGGGAAAATGTCGAAGGATGATTTTTCAGAGAGTTTGGGAGGAAAGCGATCTAATGAAGTTGCAGGCAGAGAAGAGAGAGTGTAGTGTCAGCGGGCCACCTTGGGTAAGTGGAATGCACACTGGGGGAAGGATGGAAGTTGGAAACTATCCTTACCCCCAGGTATGGGGAGTGACCGAGAGAAGGGTCTGGATGGTGCTCTGGTTTTGCTGGCAGTGAGTGGAGATGGGAGAGCTCCGTCTCACATGCAGGAGGG